TTCCCCCCCCCCCCCCCCCCCCCGGCACTCTTGTCACGTGTATATGCACATACACACGCGGAGTTTGTAGCTGTTTGCTGTGCTGTTGAGCGTTGTTTTTGCATCGTCTATCTGCCTTGTCGTGTCCGTGTGTTGTGCGCGGGTGTGTGGTAAGAGTCTGCGTGTTTTTTGGTGCTGGTCCTAGAAGCTGGTTTCTGACGTCTGCTTTTGTCGCGGTCTACACGAACGGGTGGTGTGCGACACAGCATGAAAAGGTGCGCATAGCCTTCCTCAGCCAAAAAAAGCAGCGATGACCAGTAGCCGAACTTTGTGGAACTTTTCGTGTTGTTGGATTGAGTGATTGTAGGTGGTTAGTGCGACGAAGGTGTGGTGGGAGGGGACTGTCGTCCATCTATTTGCGAGATTGCGTTCCTTTGGCACACTCCCTGTTTCCGTGACATCGTAGAGGTAGGTTGGATTCAGAAACGAACGTGGGCCGCAGCGTAGATCTGGAACGTGTATCGCAGCACGCGGAGCCACACGCCCCACTTCGAATTCCATTAGTTGTCAAAAAAACGTCCTATGTAGATATCCTGGTTTCTCTGACCACAGTCTCGTGAATGATGCCGGTTCAAGTGAAAGTTAATGGTGTGCTCTCACGCCGTCTATTCTGCGCAAGGAAACAGCAGTCCATACGTTTCGGTGTACCATATATTTGACGCACCAGCCGGGGTCACACAGGAGGAGTTGTAGACTTCGCTCTCCGGTGCTGTCCTTATTTCCATTTTTAAAGCACGCAGGGGTCAGCAGTGCCTTCCCTGTGTTTGTGTGTACTCACTACCTGTACGCTTTCCACCTCTAGATTGCGAATTGTTCTCTCCAGAGAGGCTCAAACTCGCAACCTAGTGAACCAGAGGGTAACGAGGTAGAATAATGAACCACCCGGGGCGACCAGGCGAGATGTTTTGTTGGACCCGCCGTAGCGTGGAGGGAGTGCATGTGCTTGCAGTAGGCATTTCTCCTGGGGAAGCAGTTGCTCGATATCGTGTCTTTGGGTGTTGGCGTGAGACTACTCGCTGGCGGCTGCGTTCTTGGTTAAGGAGCCTGCAGATGTTCGCTGGGTTCATGCGCACCCACCGCTGCCAGCGGTGCTCCCACTGCATTTACAGGAGAAGGAAAATATGGTTGGGTCCATCCGATGATTTGACTTTCATGTTGCCGGGAGCCGGATTTTGTGGGCGTGATTGCTGCCACACAAAGTCTTGCGCCCTGGTTTTGGCGGCAATCCCTCCCCACCACCGGACCCTCAAGTACTGTGTTTTCCAATGCACGACGGTAGACGTGGTGTATCGGTTTGGAGATGGCCTTGCGAAACACGCCCCTCCTGGGACGATGGTGTGGGTGTTCCTTGGTGAGGCATCGCCCGCCAGCGTCGTGACAGACTTCTGAAATAACGCTTGTGAGGTGGGCAACGGCCGTCTCGACGTTACAAACGCCGAACCCTCGCCAGCGAAAGAAGAAAGAACCCCGGAGTGATCAAACCATGCCCTCTGTCCTTATTCCGTGCCAACACAAACACTACCTTGAAAAAATCGCAAGATCTTGCCGAAAACCCCGATCTAGTTCGAACGCTCCTGTTCGTGCCCACACCCGCCTCGGAAGTGGTCGTATTAATCACAGGGGAATGCCCGTTCAAAGCCGGCGCGCATTGACCATCTGGGATTGTGGTGGGGGTGGGGCTAAAGGAACCCAATTGAGTAGATCAACAGCAACAGGCAAGACCTCCTCTCATAAACAAGGGTTGGTCGCGTTGAGCGAAGCGCCGGTTGCCGAAGTCTCCGACCGAACGGGCGTAGTTCCCAGGATGATGTTCCTTTCGAGCTCCGCCGCCACCATACGATAACACCGATATCCCCAACAATGGCCGAAAAATCAACAACACCAACAGCGCCTGGGATAACCGCTGCTATTATTCGGCGACGACCTTTTTCGGGGGGCGAACAATCAACACCGCTACCGCTACCGCTGAGCGGCGAGCGTCAACTTATCACGCACGAAGGGCAGCCAAGATCCGAATGTCGTCCGGCCCGCTGACGCTTCTGAAACCGACTAACTTCGATGTTTTCGGGAATAATCTGTGGTCCGAGCGAGAAGGAGGTGACAGACAAGGCGACGTGTAAGCCGGGGGGGGGGGGTCACGTTAGCCTCGTTCTGGTTGAGGACACGGGCGGCGTGTATTCTTCTGAATCAAAGGGAATCCAGGAACAAGAACCCATTCTTCTCCACACCAGGGGGTATCTTCTCACCCCCGGGTTGTTCGGCGCAAGGTCTGTCTCGCAAACAGACCAAAATATCTCACATCACACCTCCATTGGCAGTGAGGGGCCCAACGGTACCAGTCTCTTAACCATCATACCTCCAAGTCAGGGACCGCTCCGTACGACGCGATCGCCTTCGTCCGGAGCACCGGCGGCGCCCACGTCTTTCGCGCCTGCGCCACCGCTTCCGCCGCTCGCGTGTCCCCGTTCGCGGAGAACGTTCCGGGCGCCGGTGCCAACGCCGGCGTCAAGGAAGGAAATCGCGTTCTGGTCCTCTTCTTGTTTTGGTTACTACTGCTGCTGCTGTTGTTGTTGCTGTTCGTGCCCTGATGTCGTTCCGGTGGAAGCGAGGCGTGACGATCCGGTATCGATGCGGGTGGCTGTGCGTGGTACGATTGGAAGTTGCTCAGAGGTAATTCTGGCGGGCCTGGTTGTTGTCGGTGTCGCATGGAAGGGGGGTGCAGGTGCGGGGAAGAACAGCAGAGTGCTTTGTTAGACATGACACACAACATCAAAGGAGCAACCAAGGACTATTCGCTCGAGAGAGCCAAGATTTAGTGACGCTTGCCGGAGTCTGGAGTTGATAGACTGCTGTGCTCACGGTCCTTCCACGCAAAGTTCGCGCAAGCGGTAACGGGTTGGTCGTGCGTAAGACGCACCACCGATGTGCTGCTGTAGTTTCCAGGCACAGATACTTTTGGGGTTGCATAAGTCATCTATGCCGAACGGCCATTGGTAATCGATCTGTGGTTGCTTCAATGTGTCCATGCTCCCTATATCGTCTCTGTGCTCGACAGAGTACCGGAAATTGGGCTCTCTTGTTGTCGTATATCCTATGCGTAAGGCGTGCTACTGGTAAGTGCATAGAATTGCAATAGAGAGGCAGGAAGCATAACGAAAGGAGGAGAGTTCCACACGTGTTAAAAACAGCGCCGCATCGCTGTTCAAATCCCAATCGACCACGTCTCGTTTGACGAAATGAGATCGACTACGGTTGATCGGAGACAGTTGGAAAGTAGGAGAACGTATGCGCTCCTGAAACGCTACAGCTCCGCACATGGTTGTACAGTGAGCGGAAGACGCCAACCTTACTACAGCAGTACCGTTGTCTACTACTGCGGTACCATCTACCAAAAACACCACAATGGCGTTTTAAGGCATCACCTTCGGGTCCCCCCCCGTTGCGGTCTTCGATCACCGTGTACCCCCGTCCGCCCCCCCCGCCGGTCTCGAAGGCCCTCGAGTAGGGATTCCGGTCTGCAAGCTCGCCGGGGCCGTCCAGCAAGCTCGCCGTCTCCCCGCCAAGCACGGCCATCTCGGCAGCCCCTGCTACCCCTCCCTCTCGCCGGGGCGCTCCCATCCAGCGGCACAGACACTAGGAGGGCCGGGGGTCGCGGAAATACTTTAAAAGTTTTCCGTTGTGTTCGCAAAACCGGCTGACCTCCAATACCGGAGCAAAGACGCTGCTGGCGTTGGCTGGTCTGGCGGCCGGTGTAGCGTGCACCACCGACCGACTTGCGTTATCTCTGGCGGGTACCTGCTGAGAGTAAGGTTGTTTGTGGCAACAACAAGTGCTGCTGTTCAAGTTCCTAATTGGAGGAGAGGGTGAGAAACACTACGGCAAACTGTGGTACTGCTTTAGTCAACCCTCATGGACGATACATGACGGTCGAGAAGGCATGATGAACTGCCGTGCGGAGTTATCACTCTGAGAACCCCTTGTCTCCTTCGCGCAGCAGCAGCATTTCGTTAGAAAAGTTTCTTCGAAATCGTGTACAGCCCACACAATCTACAACGGCCGGAAATTAAGCTCTGGCACTGTAGACAGAAATCGTCTACACGTCTAGATGACTACAGTTCAACGTAGTCTCTACTTGTAGTCTACACCTGTACTTGCACGCGGTGGGCCCTTTCTCTCGACTATACAGTATATACCGCCTGGTTCGGCGCTGTTGACTTTCGTCGTTGTGTACATGACAAAATGGCAAGCAATCGACACTAGCCAATGACCCCGTGCGCCAAAATTTCACTTGAGCGCTTCCTCACCTGTGAGCTGGTGTCGACGCCTGGCTATCCTTGCCTGTAGAGAACACGTGGTGGACTGTTGTGATGTGATGATGTAATGTGATGATGTGATGGGATGTGTTGGTGTGGTTTTTCGGGGGCCCCACAACAGGAACAATTTCACACGGGTACCACCCAGAACCTCTTTTTCGAAATAAGAGACAGCTCGCGCCTCGGGCCTGTGGTGTGTTTTTGTCGTTGGGAATTATCTTGGCTGATCTTCCCCTGTGACCTAGAACAAACCGTTGCAGGCAACGCGCAACGGGCTGGACCGCTGGTAGCGGAGAGCAAGGGTGTCCCAGCGAAGGGAGCCTGCCCTTCGTTAATCTCAGGTATGGATTAGTCAAGCTTTTGAGTGTCGACGCCCCGTCTCGAAACTTGTACATGGATGAGAACGACGAACGGCCAAATCCTGTGTCCCACACGGTCTGCGGTGTCCCTGATGTTGTGGCGAAGGCACACACGCGTACTGATGCTGTCGGCGCACAGATAAACCTTCCGCGATCCTCGCGCTCGCTCTTACAAAAGCCGCCTCTCGTCTTTTGGCCCCTCCTGCCACCCAATTGGCCTCCAACCCAGAATGATGGTGTTCGGGGGCTCAACGGCAACAGCAGCAGCAGCGCCAGCCCATGATGGGGATCTCGGACTGCCACCAACGCGACGCATGTCCTCTTCAGCGGAAGGCCGTCTAGGCGACGGGCGGGGGAGAGGAGGAGGGCAAGTCCCGGAAACAGCCGTGCTTGTGCTGGGGAACTTCCAAGGCGCCGTTGTCCTGGACATGGGGCTTGTTACGGTGCGCGTCCGTTGTATTGTAGATTGTGCAGCAGGAGGCAGTATGGATACTACAGGATCTACTGCTGAAGAATTACTGAAGTACATGATTACACTTACCATGGCAGCGTGTCCTACCACACCGACAAGCCCGACGCCGACGCCGAGGAGCAGTGCGGACGGCGGTGGTGTACCCTTGCCTTGCGAAGACAACACTGATGCAGCCGTTGGTTACGTATGTGGACAATAACACATTCAATGGATGCGCGCCGGCAGCGGCGGCGGAACTCGACTTGGCGCGCTTTCTTCTCGAGCGGGGAGAGGACGGGGAGAGGAAGAATCTCGGTTGTGATCAAGTTGTAATGAAGAAGCACAATATGCTGCTGTGGCCTTCGATTGCGAAGTCGGCGCTGATGATGCGTGGTGCGCTGCTAAAATCCGCTGCAGATCCGCCCTGTGTTTGCGGGGTTGTGTATAAATAGTACTGCTGTAGTGTTCTGTGTCCAATCACGAAAGCAGATGTTGTTAAAGAGCCAGCGGAGGTGTAACCGTGTAACTCTCTGCACTGGCTGTACCGTCGCACACCCTTCCCTTCTGCCTTTCCCTCAAGATCAAGCGTACCTGCTGTACTCGCAGCCAGCAGCAACACAACAGTCGCTTCACGTTGCACGTTTCTCACACTTGGCGTGCGTCCACGCATGGACCGGTAAATCCAACATGCCGCCACTTTGTTTAGGTGGGCGAGGGCAAGGGTGCCACGCTGAGGATCGAGGTGCCAGAGGGCGCCAGGAAGGCGGTGACCACGATTGGTTTCGATCCCAGGCATCCCCTTAGCGGCGGGCTAGAGGTAGCCGACTTCGATGGAGAGCTGTCGCTGGGGCGGGGAGAGGTGAGCAGGCATAAAGGGAGGAGGAACGATGGTTGGAGTCCGTTGTGAAAAGCAGGGGTTACGCAAGAGAATATAGACTGCTGATGCTCTGAACGATGTTGTTCCTGCCGCTGATGCCCTTGCTGACACTCCCATCCCTGTTACCCCATCGGCCGCCTCGTACTGCCGTGGCCGATATTTCCTTTGGTCAACTCTCGACTCCCCAAAAAAACACACGAAAACGACCCCCTCCCCCCCCCAAAAAAAGTATCGCGAGGTGCACGTCGCCTGGCGGCCCGAGCGGGTCGGCAAGTTCCGAGGCAACCTGGCCTTCAAGGTGGACGGTCGCTTTCCCGCCCAAGTGTCGGTGGTCGGGGAGACCGTAGACGTCGGGGGTGGGGGCAAGAGGAGAAAGGGCGACGCCCGCGAGGGCAGGAAGAGGGTCAGAGGAGGTCTGCCCGTTGGGGCCCGCGCCGGGAGGTCTTTGTCCCAGGAGGCTGCGTCAAGGGGGGCGGGACCCCATACTTCGGTGAGGGGCGGTGGTCTGTCGTGTGGGGGGTTGCGTGTCTGGGGGTAGGCCCGTGCTTGTGTTGCGTGCTGGGTGCGCCCGGAGGAGCGGAGCGGTGTTGTTTTTCGGACCGACTCGCTATCATTGCTTTCATCGAAGCGTCGCTGTTGTCGGTCTCATGGAGAGCGGTGTAACTTGGCGGAGGGAACGTTTGTCCTGAAGCCCACGGGCATCGATGTGTATTGAGGGGCTAAGAGGCAGAGCGCACCCTCTGTCCGACTGTTACGTCGGAATTGTCGTCGGACTATCTGCGATGAAACCTATGAGGATGCTGCCGTTAGCTGGCTGGTAGCCTGAGCAGCGTGCGAGTATTCGCGTTTCCGGGCGCTACTCGGCATCACCTGCTTTCGCCCGTCCCCGCCCGTGTTGGTGATATACCTCTGATGCGGAACAATCATCACGCAGCGGTCTTCGTTCCCCCCCCCCCCCCTGGCACCGCCGCACGTCGACGTTTAGCACTATCCACCTCGTCGGGCGTTGCGTTGCGTTGGATTGATTGCACGAAAACCTCAGATGTACGGCAAGGAGAACCGCCTGAGCCTCAGCTCCACCGCGCTGCCGCCGGCGGCGTCGGTGCTGGGGCCTTCGCCCGACTCTTTCGCCGCCGCTCTGTGCCCTCGCACGGCCAACAACAAGCGGCAGCAGATGCTCAAGTACTCCAAGTCGAGGAGGCTTTCTCTCAAGCCGGGCCACAAGCGTGAGAAGGTGAGCGAGGGGGTTGGTTCGGGCGGGTTTGTGTGCGTGGTTTTTTACTCGTTGTTTGCGGAGGTGGTGCGGTGCGACCTTTTCGGTTTGGCGGAGTGTGGTTCGCGGGGGGGGGGGGGGGGGGGGG